AACAGCTGTGACTAAGTACGAATCCTATCAAAGCTTATCATGTAAACATACATGTTTATTTGGTAATGTCGGTAGAGGTGAAGAATGCTTTACCTATACCATTGGAATGAAATAGAATAACAATTTCAATATTTTTCGTTATTATTTGTTCTTATGTAAATATTTTGATCAATATGCTTACACATGTGTAAAGCCTTGAAGGCTGAACTTGAACATTTCTTAAGGTGTTGCTCATTAGGTTTTTTTATGAACAGGTTTTTTTTTTATGAAAGGTTATTTAGGAAAGCATCCTTGAGAACAAAATTTATGAGGATTAGCTTTCTAAAAGATGCATATGCATTATAGACTGCAATACACATTTTCACCAAACTGTTGATGACTTATGAGAAAAATGAAAAGCGTTAGTGTAATTGTCTTTGTCCTAGGAGTTCATGTCTAAGTTACCAAAAATCCAGTAGCTTCATGTTGTCTGTATGCTGGAGGATCTAGTCTTAGCTTGCAATACATTGAGCCGTGTGCCACTGCGTGGGGATTCCAGAGATGATTGACAGGAAAATGAATGGAGTACCATGCACCACAAGAAAACATTCCATTCCCTTGGTAGCAAAGAAAAAAAAATCCAGAAGGTGTCTCATAATATTTAATGTTTTGTGCTTATGTGCTTCATTCAACTGCATAGAGTGCAAAGAGTCCAAACAAAGGCTTTAATCTGGCAGACAAAAAAAACTGGAAAACACCAGGTTATGATCAGCATAAGGACGACTGGAAGAGGTAATAAAAAAAAAAAGGATGATAGTGAGGCAAGAGGCCTTGTAGCAAATCGTTTCCTTGGCGCTTTCAGTCACACATCTGTGGGAAACACACTAAAGCAACAAGTAGCCATCTGAGCACAGTAAAGATCTCTGTGAGCTTTAACACGCAAAGCGAAGGAATCCACAAGAAGAGGACAGGGACGCGTATAAAGGACAGGAGGATCAAACTGGCCAAGAACTCCTTTCAGACAGAAAAGCAAACACTGTTGTTGAGGTTACTATTTATCTCATGCCAGCCAAGTTGGCACGCACATCTGGCGGTGGGTACTTAGTGCAATTATTTATGATTTCCTCCAAGATTTAAAAGCTCTTCGCCCGGCCTTGTAATGCAGTAACTGATTGCACTGCTAATGTAATTAAGGGGAGATTATGATGTCCACGTGGCACACCAGATGGTGGCGTTCACAGCAATGGGGGAAGGCACAACTGGCACACCACTGCACAAGGGCAGTGAGGCGCAGTCAGTCGGAGCAGTCCAGACTCCCCACCAGACGGAGGAATGTATATGTGTGTGTATGTGTGTGTGTGTGTGTGTGTGGATAGGTGGGCGGATGGATGTGAGGTCCACATACACAGATGCATGACAGTATATGAGCATGTATTTGATGATAAGTTGAGCAGGAAAGTGTTAGCTAATGCAAAACAGCACCAAGGAAATTAGAGATGCAGGTCCAGAGTAATAACTCAGAGTCTTGCTGGGAATTTATTTCAGTTATGCAGTTCAAAAAGTGAAACTCGCACTGTGTATCATCCAAATTTGAAAGACACATAGAGTGATGTATTTTGAGCGTTTATTTCAAAACAAATGCTCAAAATACGACTTCTGATGAAAAAACAAAAAAAAAAACATAATAAAAATCGTAATAAAGTAATAATATTGCACAAGGACTGATGACCTACTAAAGAAAGGCCAAGTAATGCACTGATAAAGAAGATGGTTGTTCACAAAATGCAGTATGCAGTATGTCATAAAAAGCTGGGTGGAAGGAAAAAGTGTGGCAGAATTCTACTTGTAGTCTCTCCTGAACCAAACACAAAGTCAGAAGAGTCAAGGGGAAAAGTTAGTGGATGATCGCTCCGTACTCGGTCACTACACTGGTGTCAGCAAATTTCAGTCGGATGTAAATTTTGCATTTCATTTGGAAGTTGACCTGTTGGTGTTGATCCACACTGTTTTTATCAAGTCCAAAGCCAGTGCAAGCCATCATTTTAGATCATTTAATACTTTGTTCTGCTGAAGAGTTTTATGAAGATGCTCATTTCATTTTCTAGCAGGACTTGACAGCGGCAGAGATTGACAAAAATGCCAATGACTGCCTTTTTTTGATCACTGTGTCAATGTGAGTAATTGGCTTAAAATATTTTCTTGACCCAAAGGCCCCAAAGAGCATCCTGAGGGTGTAATCAATGGGAAGACAAGAGCCCAGGTATTGAGTGGGTAAACTGTGCAGTAACTCCACATAAAGTATTTTTCAGTAGGTGTTACTGTATTAAAGAATATTTTTTTTGTTGGTCCAACGTAATATTCTTATATTATGAGAAACTCAAACTTTACCTGCAAGCCATAGTCTTTTAAAATGAACAGAAAGAAACCCTTGAAGTATGTCACTGTCTGTGCTTTTTAGAATAAATGTGGTCGTTAAATTTGATGCACTTTTCTTTGCATTAGTTAAGCCACTCAATCAACGAGACTAAATGCCAAAAGCTCAGAAGTGCAAGGCATGAATAAAAACGAAAACCTTCACTTTGATGTCAGAACGTGAATTTTTACACGTAAAAGCAGCCCGACCATGTACTCTCAACCATAAGCTTGCTGAATTAGAAAATAACAGTTCATACGTTTTGAACTCTTACAAATTCAGTGTTTTAGTGAGGAAAACAGATGGGGTGAATGTAAAATTAAATCACATTTGGACAATCCATCATGTTTCAGAGGACTTTTCCAGCCAGGGCGACAATGAGACCCGACCAAACTGACCTTTAATTAGAAAGAAGCATGACATTATGGAGCCTTGCGAGGCTGTATCCTTTGGGGGGCACTAAGGGTAGGCTTCTTAAAGCTGGTTATTATAAGCCATTCAGGAGACACGGGGATTTGGTTTTCTGTGTGTAGACAGAAAAAAAAAAGTGAGGAGGAGAGGAGGGGGCTGGGGGTTATGTATAAAATGAGACCTGCAGATTTCTACATAGCCCATAATGGGTTCATGTGGGTGACATTGGGACTGTGTAGATTTCCCAAGTTGAGATAGGGATAATATTACTCTTGGGATAGCAGCACAGAAATTTCCATCTTCAGTCCCTACACTGGTGTCAGCAAATTACAGATTGCAATAAATGACCTTTAGACATAAAAAAAGAACATTTCCTTTTCTTCTTCTTCTTCTTCCACCATTTTTGGGAGACTTTTTTAAAAAAAAAAAAAAAAAAAAAGTAGAATTTTGGGTCCCAGTGCTTGTCTGTTCTCCTGTTAATTAAAACTCAGAACGAACAGCATTCAGATTGATGCTTCGAACACGATAAGATTGTTCTGGTGCTCAGGCGGGTCAGCGCGAGTTGAAATAAAGCCGATGTCAAACAAAAGGTGAAAACAGCAATCGCAGCTCTAATGAATCTTTTCAAAATACCAGCCGTAACACCCTGCACCTCCCGCTGGTGGCTCCCCTGCAGAAATCTGCCACAGCCATCATTCATCTTACCCCGCAGTCCTCCGCGCGCGAGGCGGCGCCCGTTAAAAACACTGTAAAAGCTGATGATTTTCACAGTTAGCATGTGTTGCTGATGACTCCTCTCTCAACGAGCGCTTCGTCACCTCTTCCATAATTAGACCATTACTTTAGCAGGTGCACCTCTCTCTTCCAAACCAGATTAAACGTGTGCCGGTGTTGTTGCATTCTATTTATTTATTTATTTATTTTAAATTATTATTCCTTTCGACAGACACCTTTGAATTCTTTTGCTCTCAACTGTGCCAAAAAAAATTTAACGCGCCTTCTCCGTTGTGCGTCAACACCTTGATATGGTAGCATGTGTTGGTAGGATTATGTGCGTGTGAGGGCGAGGGTGATGACGTGGGGGTGTAAACGCAGACGAAGGAGTGAGATTATTGAAAAAGGAAATCTTTCATCAAATGCTTTTCTCTGCTCCAATCATTTGCCACAGAAAGCAGCATCAGCGACGATAAGCAGCACTGAGCTGCTGCGTGTGATCGGAGGTTCGGGGTTTGGCAGTGGGGCGCTATCTTCATAAATATTTTCCTGCCAGTCACTCCTGAATTAGTCTGACTTTAAGCACACTTGTTCGCCTGCCTTCACAATTCCAGTTTCAGACACCAGAATCATGTGAAATCAAACAAAAGAAAGGTCCAACGCCTGTGATTTCAATTCACACAACAAATACAATTCTTGGTTTTGGATTACGTGAACAATGCCTCAGTCAGTGTGTCTCAAAATCCAAAATTCAGATCGAGGAATGATGTCACATTAAAGATGAGTGGGTTCCAGTGGTGAAAACTACTGTTTTTCAAACACTAAATTAAGATTACAAATAGAGATCAAATGTTACTATGCGTGGCACTACTTTAATGAGAGAAGAAATAATAAATTATTAGTTAGTAATAAAATATAGCTACATATTTCTCTGTTAAGACATCTTATGTGTTAAGCCATATTAGATTCTGCTATCTATCTATCTATCTATCTATCTATCTATCTATCTATCTATCTATCTATCTATCTATCTATCTATCTATCTATCTATCTATCTATCTATCTATCTAAAACAAACACATACAAAAAAATATGTTTGTTTTCCTGAAACATACAATGAGTAAAAAAAGTGGGGGAAAAAAAAAATATGCATTATCAGAAATGTAAAGAAGTTCAGCTGTCAGTGTTTAGCCCCAGAAGAAACAATCCACCGACATATGGCGCCATGTAACAGAACAGAGCAGCAAATCTCAGGTTTTAATTAACTGAAAGATGGTGTCATTGGTGTAGTGATGGTAGAAATAATAAACCTGATGATGGGGAAGCATCTGTTGCCTGCTGGTCTTTTAGAGAGCCTACAAAGAGGCTTTTAACTTCTGCGCTCAGGGAGATGCACAACTTAGCTAATAATGTAAGGGCTTGCGTAAATACATTGCTCTGTCTTACTTTTATCTGATTACAGCAACGACATGTGATAACTTTTAGAGAGACACACAGCTGTCAGGAGGCCCCGACCCGTGGATGCATTTATGAGAGTCAAAGTGCAAGACAGCCGCAAATGTAGTTACACAACTAATTAGGCTGGATAAGTTATGGCAAAGAAATGAGGCCTCCAAGAAGTTAACAAAGCAAACTGAACCGTTAACTGTTTTTTTCAAGTTTTTGGTGACTAATGCAGGTAAATAGATAAAGAGACTTTGAACCCAACAACAGAGATTTGTGATGTCACTCTGTGGACTTTCAGGTTAATTATTACCAATATGCGACACCCGGAAGTGTTGAAGCTTCGTAACACGGAGGCAACGTCGAACTGAAGAGGCAAATACCAGACATTTTCACGTAAAAAAAAGGTAAATATACAACAACCAGGATTATATTAGGTGTTTAGCCTCACCTTTGTGTTCCGGTTAGAGTCACATGGAAATAACCTTCGACTGTGGATGTAAGTGGACTTGCTACATCTTTAGGAAACTGAATGAACACTCGCATTAGCTAAATTGTCTGTTCAACACATGTGCATAATTACTATAGCTATATTATATTATGTGTAATTTATTATTGTATTAAATTTCTATATTGTTTTTTAACATGTAGCTAACAGTTACGTTTTTTAACCTTGAGCTGGTAAATAATACAACGCCACAATAAAAGCTAGGGGCATCATTAGGATGGAATCAATAAAAGATAGAAGGGGTGCAAAGTGTGGCCAAAAAGCTTCACTAAACCAGATATACTTCTGACAACTATATTTATTAGTGTTACTAATCTATTGACTGGAGTTTCAGTAAAACTATACAGCAAAACCTCCTAGAATAGTTATTATTATTGCACTGTTTTGTCAGTAAACTTTCACAGTTATACTTTTATTATAAGAAGAAAGCATCCAAGGTTTTAACTGCCTGCACATAAACATGAACTTACTGAGATCTAACCTTATGCACAAAAACTTTAGATATGACCAGAATGAAAATGTCAATCGAATATTTACACAATCAGTTTGATCAAATAACAACACATTGTATTGTGTTATTTTATATTATTAATATGGAGGGTTTCTAATCCCCTACAATAGACCTAATAGTTATCTTGCTAAGTTTCTTTTTTTTTTGTATAATTTAACTGGGCATTTTTTTTTTTTAGTCCTTGAGCACTGATTTGGGTTGGGAGAAAAAAAATAACTAATTTGAAGAAATTAATGTTATAAAGATATCTTTCACCCCATTGGCTAAATGGCCATTTGGTTTAATTTGAATAAGTACAGCTATCTAGCATTTGTTAACGAGACAGCATGTTTCTGGAGTAAATCCTCTAATTTGATCAGCTTAATTGCAATGGATTTTGTAAATATAAAGATTGAATGCTGCAACTTTGTCAGTTACTGCAAGAACGCTTTAGACCTAATCTAATAAAACTGCATAAGAGAACCTTTGCAAAGCCACTTACCCAGTAAAAAGGCTTGCATATCCATTAGGCAAAAATTCCCTTAGACAGAAATAGATAGCAATTGATCGGGACTTCCTTGAAAATATGTGATCGCTCCCCCCTAATCTGCGATTTGGTGAAGTCAGACGGTGGTCTCCGAATGCTGTTTTGTCACTGGTCTCACTTGTCATTTGATCCCGGATTAGGCGGCCGCTTTTTCTTCTAGAGCCTAATAGGCCTCATCAAGAAGTCAATAATGTAGCCATTTAGACTAAGAAAACCCCCCTGTTCCTCCTCCAGGTCAGCATTGTAAAGGATGTAATTGTCATTTTCTTTCACCTTTTGTACATTTGGTTTTGTATTTATTGCTAAATTTACAAGTTTTCCTTATCAATGAATGTGATTTAAAAAAAAAAAAAATCCTGTGCCAGAAAAACAAAAACAGTGTTATTTTGCATTTTGATGTTCCTTTGCTTTTCTAACAGATCTCCAACATGTCTGAAGAGAGCAACAAGCTGGGCCCCATCTCTGCTGTCGGAATAGTTAGTTCACTCACCAAAATCCCTGACGGCTTCTATGTTGTGAGTAGAGATGCTATAAGATGATCCTAAATAACTGGATAAGGAATGACACAGGGATAATAACTCTCCATCACTGGCTAATAGAATATTTCAGCATTTCTTTACTCTTATTTCATAAAAAGTTGTATTTGCGTCAAAAGGATAGTGTGACGATTTCGGCAACTTGCCTCAAAAAAGTGTCCAGGCCCCTAAATTTCTTGTATTCTGTTAAATTGTAACCACAAACTTTATTGTGTTTTATTAGGATAGTGATAGACCAACACAAAGTAGCACATAATGATGAAATCGAAGGAAAACGATACATGGTTTTCTAAATTTATGACAAAATAAAAATCTAAAAAGTGTCCTTTTAATCAATTCCCTTTATTAAAATCCAGTGCAGCCACCTTAGTACAGAAAGCACCTGAACAGAGTTGACCTGTATGTAATGTGAGCTCTTATGTAAGCTGTTCTGTGAAGACCCGAGAGGTTTGTTACAAAACGTCACTGGATATTAAAAATCCTTAAAACTATGAAAGGTGCAGACCGGATACATCAAGGATAACGTGGAGAAATCCTCTCCACACCGTGATCACTTATTTACACACAAACACTTACACTGATGGCAGGAGCGTTGCCATGCAAAGTGATCCGCTGCCATCTGGAGCATCTTGAGGCTCCATGTCTTGCCCAAGGACACATGGAGAGGTGGACAAGCTGGGAACACTAAAGCTTGCTGTAGATAACCTGTTCTCGTACCTCAGCCAAATCTGCTGTCAGCTAGCTGCCTTTAGCTGACAATACTTTTGTCTTATGCCATAATACTTGCAGTTTAACTTTATGAAATGTAACATTTAGCTTAAATGTCCTACTGTGCATTCTTCTTTTTAAGTTAAATTATGAGAAAAAAGTAAACGAGGCTAGTTTAGCTGTATAATGCAGTTTTTTTTCTCTACATGATCAAAGAGTCCAAATATCAAGTTAGTGACAAGTAAGACATGGATGTTTGTTAGTGTTCGTCTCTGTATTAAATGTGACAGCTGCCATGTGTGAACCCTGAGGCAAGATGTAGGCTCTTCCAACTTAAAAACGACAATGTTTCGATTCATTAGAGATATTATCACAGTTGTTGTCATTAGTCTTGTTCCACGTGCCTTATGGGAATTTCCCTTTTAGAGATTCACAGAAATGTTAAAAGAGTATAATTAAGTCAGGAAAGAAACAGTTTTGTTGTTAAATGTTCTAAGAAATATCAGATTACAAAAAAAAAACTACAAATGTGACAAACATCAGCAAATACATTAATATAAAAAAATTGGTACTTTGAAAGAATACAGAGAGACAAAGTGGCAAAAAGAAAGCGAACCCTTTAATTTCTTTTTTCAAAGGAAGTCTGTTTCTCATTTTCTCCTCTAAAAATCTACATGCTATCATATCACTTGCGTTTTGTGTTGTTTTTAAGTGTGATCTCCTTTCAGTAATTAGAATGTGTTTTATCTGATCCTGAGGCTGCTACTATGAAATTCAGATATAGTTAGAAGGTCATTGACAATGAAGGAGTTGCAGAGAGTAACTTGGTCAATGCTACCAGAGTTGAAAAGTGGAATTCCTTCCAAAATTTATAAAAATCATGACATCTGTGCTGTCCATGAACCTCTAATGTTTATTAAAGGCTCTGTTGAACTTTGTGAAATCCATTGGGGATTTTAAAGCCCCATCAAGTGTGCATGATGGGATTTATTCAAGTTTGCCAGCACATCAAGCTCACAACTTTACACTGCAATGCCTTATTGTCAAGGTTCTGAACTGTCTACAAACAATGGTAAATACGAACACCTTCTGTGGTTTTTCACTAATAAATAGCGACCATCTTCAAGAGGATTTTCCAGAATCTTTCATTCGTATGTTTTTGACAAAGATGTTGCGGGATGTTTTGTTTTTCTTGGTGAAAGACAAAACTGATGTAGAAGAAATTTAGAAAAAATAGTTTCTTCAGCATCATTTGCTGGATTGTGAATGAACACTTTTTACAGTTTTTTTTGTAATGTTTTCTTAAACAAGTTGTAATTTTATGTCAGACTACCTTGTTTCAGGACTGAGTTTGACTTAGTTACTAAGCAGCTGGTGTATTTTATCCACAATTTCTATTTCTTACCTTGATTTTTACATTTATTTACCTTTGATAGTGAATCAAGCACTGAGTAGGATGACAAAGTCTTTGCCAGCACTTAATATGATACGTTTCCTGTTAAAACAAAAGAAACTGATAAAAACTGCAATTTTACAAACATGTTTCACTATTTGTTGCACATTGCAAGCGTGCGAACGGCATAATGCACAGTCAGAATGTTAGCAGCTTTCTTTGAGGTTAACTTGTTGGATGACTTATCCATAAGAGTTTTGCTTTGATGGCTCTGAGAATCCTGTTCATGTGTCGCCATCATTACTCCACAGGTAAATTGTTAATGATATTTGGCCTAGTCCTATAATATTTCAATTTGTCCTCTATTTGTTTTAAACATGCAACAGTCTCACAATAACAAAAGTGGGTCCTGATGTGAAGCATTGAAGTTCAACCTGGTTCAGAACTTTTTTTGTTGTTGTTGTTGTAGATCAAGTTGGCGCAGGTTGAAAAGAGAGGAGCATGTGAAAGTTAAACAAAGCTCCAAACAAGCTCAGGGGCAGATCTCTCTTCCTCCTTCTCTCTCTTCCTATTCCGACCCCTTTTGTTTTCCACCCCATGCCTGCAGTCCCTCCTTCTCCCAGTTCTTATCTCTTCCTGCTCCACCCTACACACCCAGCTTGCTGGAATCTCTGGCAGATGATGGTGGGTGGAATAAGAATGAAGCCACAGGCAGGAAGACTACATGCACATCACAGGATAGTGACAAACAGAAAGAAGCCCCATCAGACTCCCCCCCTGTTTGCAGCGCCGTAGAGCATTTATGCATTTTGGCTGATGTGCAAATACCGTTCTGGGAGTGGGGGACGGGTGGGGGGAGGCAGTACAGAAAGAGTTTACAATCTAAAAGTAAGTCCACATTCTGCTGACTTGAGAAGAAGATGGTGGGATTGTAGATATGTAAGTGATGGATGACCGCACATCCACAAAAACAAAGCCAATTCTCGAACTGAAAGCGACACAATTTTCTAAAAATATCACCAAGATAATTTACTGAACAATATGAAGCTGTTCAACGACTGTACACGTTAGTTAGGAGTTGGGCAAGTTATTGAATACTTGAGATTGGTCAATTTAGGAGACTTTGTTTTTATAATAACATTTCACTCTGACATTAGAATTTGGTAAATACAACAGTTTTTAATTTCCCTGCAAAAGCAGCATCAAACTACATTTACTCTACTGGGATTGTATGGCACTCTGTAGCTCTGGTGGTGTTTTATGGTCATATTTCTACAAGAAAATTAACATCTCTCCAAGTTTCATGTCTTTTGCTGCCTCTAATAAATTTTGTTCCAGTCGTACACTGTGTTTAACCCCATCCGTCCTGCTGAAGATCAGCATTCCCACAGTATGGTACTGCTTCTACTGTGTTTCATAGTGAAATTTATTTATCTCAAGTAATGTGTAGCAAACTTACACCTTGCTTCCATCATTTGTCGGTTTTGTGAGCACTTGTTGTCATGTCAACTGATTATTGTTTCACCTGAGCTATGGTTCTCTGCAGCTCCTTCAGAGTTATTATAAACCTCTGAGGTGCTTTTTTGATCGATGCTATCCCTGCAGTGCCTGTCAGTTTAGGTGGATGGACGACGGCCTTGTTTCTCTGAGTTTGAAGCTCTAAAGCTTCTCTTTTCAGATGATGAACTGAACAGCTGTTCACAGTTGGGAATATTCTTTTATGTCCTACAACCTGCTTTAAACTCCTGTTCAACTTTTCTTCACCCATCTGCTGTGTTCATTGGTCTTCACAATGCTGTTGGTTTAATGGTCTCCAGCAAACCTCTGCAGCCTTCGCAGAACAGCTGGATCTATAGGAAGTTAAATTAAGTAACACTGTTTACTAATTAGGGGACGTAAGAAGGCAGTCGGCTACTCTGCATATTAGAGTCAAAGGCCTTGCATGCAAATGCACACTATACTCTTTTCAGATTTTTATTTCTGCAAAAAAAATATACATCATTTTCCTTCTGCAATTATTTATTATTTTGTGGTGGTCTATCCCATAAGATCAATCGATTTCTTATCTAAAGTACCATCCAACGCAGTGAAGAAAAAAAAAATTGGCAGCTGATATTTAACAAAACTTTAAGTTCTTTATTATGAAGGCCTATAAATTTCATAATTTATAGGTGTCTTTTTTTTTGTTTTGTTTAAGCCCGCCACTATGTTTCTATCTTTCAGAGCTAATTTGAATATTTACGTAGCCAAACAGAACATTTTACCTCTTGTTCCAATGCAACTGGAATTTTTAGGAGAAATAAAAATGTGTAATAACACTCCTTAAAATTAAACCTGACATAAATTCTTCAACTGAATGGGTATTTCAGTAGTTTTGTTGTATATTAAGTCTGTAAAAATATACCTTGAGAAGTGTAGGTGTGGCCAAGGACTAGCATTGAGTATTCTTCAGTTTTCATGCATTTGCATCATTTATATATGCAAGACAATTTGTATTAGCTCTTGTTTTTATCACTACAGATTAGATTTCAAAACATTATCCCACTTTTGGGAGTTTTCCGAAGTTGAATAGAAAATATTTTGAGACTAATTTTTGTGTGAATGCCGAAACTATAAGCTCTTGATCAGGAAACACAAATAACACAAATGCCAACTATTTTCTTTATTTTCATAAGGACTGATAGTAATGAAAAATAAAGCTAAACAGCAGCCCTACTTTGGAAAGCATTGACACTCTTATATGCATAATTTTGGATCAGTAAATGTTGGAATCTTTATACACAAACCTCTATGCACTTGTTTCCCCTCAAGAACCTGTTTTGATGTAACTTTCTAGTATAATATGTCTTTAAAACATCTTTTAAGCAATGCTACACAG